GGTTATTCCAGTTGGCTACCGGTGCTGAAATGCTAACGAATGGACGTTTGTGGCCCTTAATCTGCTTTTTGCTTGCTTGCTTGCGCTGCGGCCTTGGCTGTGGCTTGGCGCTTGCGCTGAAATGCTTGCGCTGTAGCCTTTAGTTGATACCGCCACCATTTGTACTTTCAGAGGCATGAAATCATTCAGGTTTCTTAGTACTCCCTCGCCATTGCGTCGTAATCTTTGCTGATGCGTTCTCGCGGCCCAGCACAGAACGAAGTTTTTACATACTGTATTCGTACTTACAAGCAAGGCCACAGACCGATTGATCCTATGGATACATTCCGAACTTACTACCTAAAGGTAAAACAAGGCCAAATGGCGCTCCTGGAAAATAAGGAATAAAGGTATTTATATCTTCGAATGACTACATTAAATAAGGGAACTGATTCACAGCCTTGGATTGATGACCTATGGCCAACTGAAGCATACCAGGTCATCCGAGAGATTGTGCCTCGAATCTGTATGATGTGAATGTGAAGCATAGAGCCCTTCAGGTGGCGCTCAAAATAACATCATTTATCATTCCGTCCGCATGCTGGGTGCATAGCGTAACACAACAGCGTCATACCCGACAAACGTGGTTTTCAGATTACGTGAAGACATGTGTTGCATCATATTTCGTTGCCTCATCACAAATAAACGACCAACATTGCTCACATGTTATGACTTAGCACGAGGTCAGGACATGACAAGGTGACCTCTGCTGACCTCATTGAACGGGCTCAATTAAACCCACTGTCACGAAATGTCGTCGCATGTCGAGCTGCACCAAGAAAAGGAATAAGGCTCAGATTCAGTGCCGATGATGGTTTAATTAGGTCTTAAATCACGATTTAGGGTGACCTGATCCACCAAGCAACATATAAACATTTGGCAAAAGATGGCTCTGGAGCTCCTTTAACGCTACGGAAAGTTTTAGCTGGCTGATGTTAACACGCGCCCGGATGGTCGGCTAGATACCCTTCGCTCGGGTGGGGAGGGGGGGGGGGGGGCGGAGGGGTCAGTTTGACCCGCTGAGATTTAAGAAAGCCAGAGACACCAAATTTACAGGGGGTCTTGACCTGTACGTGAACTCACTTAGGTCATGACCTTCAGGTTAAATAAGTTTAAACAAGGTCAAATTCCAGGTTGGTCTCCAAAGTGCCCCCAGAATCTAGGCAAATGTTTCTTAGCAAAGGTCGCAAGCCCATTTGAGGTCCGTGACCTTGTTTGACCTTTTGAAAGCCATGGTGATCAAAAGCATACAAGACTGCTCTGAGTTTTGCATCTGAATAAGCGACAAAGATTACGCCAGGCAGTATGCTCCTAAAACAAAATTTTGACCCGGGTCATCTTTGGTCAATGACCGGTTCTGACCTCTAAGAAGTCAATGGAAGATGTATAATGCGGTTCCTGCTGTCAATAAATTTGAAATGAGCACTAGAAACTACCCCATACAGCAAGCTCTGTAGTAATAAATCAGGTTGGTTTTGACCTTGGTATGACCTTCATACCTGACCTTAGGTCAGCGTAATTTGCTCATTCAGTATTTGTGTTGCCTAAGAAAGCATCTCAGAGTGTATGACTTCGTCTAACACTCCATTGTTGCTTCAGATTGAACGATTCCCTAGAAGTTGACTTCACCAAAACCATGGCCTGACTTTGGCCTGCCATAGGTCAGCAACCTTACAAAGCATGTCTAAATTTTTGATGCCAAACGATCCACTATTCAATTGTCTACAGCTATGCAAAATTTGACGCGGCTACGCCGCGCCGTTCGGAAACCATTCTGGAAAAAATTTTCGGCGTGTCAATTTGACCCCCGCCCGAGCGCGCGTTAAATTAGCGGGAAAATCGTACCAGACAATCTTTGGCCTTAAAGGCGAGAACCGTATGGTGTTAGTCTTCGGCCTTATAGGAGAGAATGTCTCTTAAAAGGGATTGGGCCTGCCAAAAATCGCCTGAAGCTAAATTTATGAAAAGTTGCGGCATGCTCTCCTGATTAATGTGGCGTTCATTTTAACTGGCGTTTTCTCTCTACATTGCAGTAGTTCTGCAACGTTTTGACGGTAACACGAGTCCACTTAGTGACGGCTAGGTACTACATAGCGGCACTTAATGAAGTGCTGTAGCCCAAAGCGTTACGACCGAGGACAAGGAACAAATGTGACAATGTTTTAGTCTTGTGGCATTTGGTGGGGTTGAACAATGTTTTTGGATTATACTTTTCTGATCGTTTTGAGAGAAATAAGATGCAAGCTTTTTGTAGCCCCAACCCATTTGGAATAATCTGATGCGTTCAAAATTGTCGATTTTACCATGCTGACCTACGACAGTGATCTTTCTGCTTGACCTGGTATCCCCTCAATCTGCAACGCAATGGAAACTTTTTGCATGGCTCGCCATCACACATCCATTCACCTGAGTCCATACTTGATGATCCCGAACATTCGAACAGAAGGTTGTTTAGAAATGTAGCCGCATATATAATAGTCGGGCGCAATAGTCGCATATAGAAAACGACCCAAATACTCAGCTCCTGGGCGTAAAAGTGATTCCACACGTTTCAACTTGAATTTGACCTCCGAAGCCGCCGACATATACCAGCTTCCTGCTTCCCAGACTAACACTGCATACTGATGCTGCCTATCATTTTCGGCACCGTTTTAGCTACAAATGTCGGCAAGCTTTTGGGACAAGTAATCCCGTCATTCGACGATCGTAGGTCGGGTTTCCTAGGAGTCACCGTACATCTTGGTTTCGTTCTGGGACCCGGAAATAAAATTCTGGCCACGAGTTCCGGTAAGTTTATGTTATAGCGTCCCAAGCGGGAAAACAGGGATACAGTTTCGCATCACATGTAGAGATCACAACCGGCGATGCAACTGATTTGTTGAAAGGAAATGGGCGCCATCGACGGTCGCACTAAAACCTGTACATTGAGATGGCATTAACTGAACAATTGTCAAAGCAACGGGAGGGTTGCCGCGTATGCAGTGCCGCGGCCGGCTGCAGAGTTCACAGCAGCTCACAGCAGCTCACAGCAGATCACAGCAGCTCACAGCAGCTCACAACAGCTCACAACAGTTCACGAAGGCTCACGACGCTGTCGTAACGGCATGGGGCAAGCTTCCGCCGTGTTGCTAATATATATATATATATATATATATATATATATATATATATATATATATGTATATACATTATACTGGTACCAGCCCCCCCATTGGATCCTTGTTGAGTGAGGACGTTACAGAAACATTGCAGCGTAAAGAACAGAGGACTGTGCACAAAGCGTACCACATAAATCAAGAGATGTCACACCTTTCTACGTATGTACCGAAAGGTAATGTTGCAGGGGATAACCGGATTTCATAATGTTTTCTCGTTAAGCGGTTCTACGTTTGTGTTTTGTGCGCGAGGCTTCAATCGGCTGGGATTTCCCGGAAGGCGGCCGGTCTGACGTGACCAGCACTCCGTGGGCCGGAGCCCACGGTTTGCCCGCCATTTCCTCCACGGCGTCGCTGTATTCACGGAACGCTGCCTCCAGAAGCGCAGCGTTCGGCTGCTGTGAACCGCACGGCGGTGATTAAGAGGGTATGTGCTGGATGTAACGGTCGCAGGCAGCCAGACACTTACGAAACGAATAGTTTGCAGCGCCAGTTTGGTAAACAGCTGCTGCAATCGAGATGTCACCGGGTACAGTGGTCGCGGCTGGAGTTCTGGAGTGTAGTTTTCCGGAGTTGTCAACACCGACTTCTTGCGTGGTTGATGCAGCGTCGGAGGAATCCCGGTGGGGATGGAAGGGAGGCAGGGAGGGGGTCGCGTGATTTTGCATCGTTTCTTTCCTCGCGGCGTCATAGGGTTAATTTTAAATGCTGACTAGGGTTGAGGAGAGATACCCTCCCCCACCCCCCGCTCCCCCTATTCGCTGCCCTTGGGTCTATGCGCTCTATCCCTTACGAACTGAAGCAACACTGCCTGGCGAGATCATTTTTGGATCGCGAGATCTGCAGACCAAGTAGTGGGAATTCCATTGGAGCTGAGGTGGAAGTGGCGGGATTACCCCGAAGGGTGTCGCTTTGGTATTCGATCCTGGGTTTGTCCATGAGCCGCCGGAGTTCGCGAACATCCCTGCCGTGGTGAGCTGGAATGCCCCGAGCTCGGTGTTGCGAGCATCAACACGGAAGCAGGCAGCATTCAGCACTGCTAGACGTGGTGTCATGCGTGCCCCATGCATCGTACCCGCTACCGGGCACGCGTCGCCACCTGTTGTCCTGCAGAGGTCCTTCCGTGGCCCCCGTGATGAGCGTGACTGCGGCGGATCACACTAGCCGTGGGCAGCGCCTGACTAGATGGATTGGGCTCATGTAGAGGGATCATCTCGGGGGGGGGGGGGGGGGGGAGGTAACCCTCCGGGAGCCTTGCGACCGTCCCCCTAGCGGCAGTGTTTATACCCCAGGCGTTTAATCCGGTTTATCGCGTGGGCTATTCTGGTCGCATTGCAATTCAGATTGTGGTTTGAGGACGTCAAGCCTCGTGTCGGGAGAACAGCTGCCGCCAGGGTAGTCCCATCGTCAGGTTGGTGGTTTAAGTCTACTTTACACTTGAACCGCTCTTTTAGCGGCGGGATCTGTGACCATTTGGGCTTGATTGTTTTTAAAAAATGCTATGAGGTATACATTGTGCGGGTCTGGCCAGCTATCTAGTCTTCTGTGGTGCTGAATAGATGAATTAACACTTAACATTTAGTGATGCAACTCTGATGATTGCATATTAAGTTTTGAAATCACGCATTGTTTCAAGAATGGCGTGCAGCAACTCTAGAATGCACCCAGTTGGCCTGCACCTTCGTTCATGCTGATGGCCTACAGCACGTCACGGAGGACAGCAGATGACTTCCATGTAGTGTACCTACAGCGTTAGTGCGTGCAGTCAAAGCCGTTCTTGACGCAGCTCTGCGCCGCGCGCCGCAGGACCCCGTCTGGCAGAGTCCGGAATGAACAGAAACGCCGGCAACCTGCCGAAGGCCACGAATGAGGCCGAGCGGCAGCGGAACATCCGGGCCGGCTCCCAGATCAGCGAGCTCAACAACCCCTGCCTGAGCGTGAGCAGCGTCCCCCCCCCCCCCCTCCCTGCCCTCACGTCGACTCCGACCCGCTGCATGGTGATGAGCCTGCTGGTCTGAAACCTGGCTTATTTGTCCGTCGGCGTGCTGGATGCCCCCCCCCCCCCCCCTGTATGCCCGTTGTTCTGCTGTAATCGGTTTCATGCGTCGCTTTGGTAGACCATAACGCAGAGCATTTTGATCCGCGACCCGTGGACTTTTTACAATTACCTGCTTGCCTGAGGGTATGCCGCACTAGTGTTTGTTCTCATTCGGGCGTGCCGTGTGTTACCAAAAATCGTGTAAAGGCCTGGTATATGACGTTGTATACAAACCTGTTGGATGCTAGATAAAGAATGAGTCCAAATCGCGGAATGTGATGATGTGTTGGCCCCGCGCCAGAGGCGTCAATGGTTTGGTTTGTATAACGCTGACAAAACGACGTTGTAATGTAGTTCGGGCTAGTGTGAGGGATAGCGACAAATGTGCACCTGCTTAAAAGTTTGCAGGCGGGGGGGGGGGGGGCACGGGAGATCACGGGAGCTATGGCACGGGAGATCCAAGCAACGCAGTCATGATTAAGCCACTTGCTTGGCAAAGTCGGACCGGTGTTGGACATGAAAGTCATCTATTAAGTATGTGTGCATTGTTGTTGCAGGAGCAAAGCCAGGTTCAAAAGTGCATGGACAAGTCAGGTTACGACAAAGAGAAGTGTCAGTTACACATGAACAATTACAATGCGTGCAAGAGGTTCTGGGTAAGCTCTTACGCCGTCTGACGCTGATGTGACGATTGGTCCGCTCCTGATGCTGGCTATCTTAGTTAGCTCGCGTCAGTACAGCAGTAGTATCTGCCTTGCTATGTCGGTACTCGTTCCATGTTCTATGGTCCAGTTCTGTGGTCCGAAGCTCGTCCTGTCAATGGTTTTTTGCCCCGTTCGTGCCCAAATACGGCAACCTTCCGTGACAAACGCACTGAGCGATTGCGAGCGATTGATGTTCTCCCAGATCCACCAATGGCGGTAGCTCTTGCGGTTAGCGTAGGCGACGGCCTGACGGGCAGACACGGAGAGAGGTACTGGGGCGCGCTGACGATAGGCGGCAGGGAGGTGTGCTGAGAAGTGTTGACGACAGGCTTCTCTGGCAGGGGGAGGTGCGGAGGCGACGCCGGAAAGAGGGCCTAGAGCCGGAACTTCCTCCCCCCGAGGAGAGGGCCGCCATCAAAAAGGAGTTCCTCTCCAAGGGTCATTTATAGTATACGGGATTCGCGGGAAGGTGCGCGGCGTCGTGCAGGCTGCTTGTGGTTGATGATTGTGGAGCATGGAACGCGTGGTGTGATAGAATACATGCGTTTGGTACAGATCACAACTTTGTGGCTGTTTGGAACTGGGGCTAGCGGAGACCAGTCATGTAGCCACCGTGACAGACTAGTGCGCGATTCTGATGTGGCCGTCTTTGTTGTGTGTATTCAGCTGCTGTTGAGGTATTTATTCGGCTGCACCTAGTTTTCTTCGATTCCCCGCGGTGCCCGCCCTTCGTGCCAGGGTGAGAGGCAGGCAACGCCATATAGCCCCAACAGCTGAGTGTGTCGTGAAGCCCCAATGACACGCACACACGCACGCGCACGCGCGCAAGCACACACGCACGCACGCACGCACACACACACACACGCACGCACGCACGCACGCACGCACGCACGCACGCACGCACGCACGCACACACACACACACACACACACACACACACACACACACACACACACACACACACACACACACACACACACACACACACACACACACACACACACACACACACACACACACACACACACGCACAGTTTCCTTTTCGTGGATTTCGCTATAGGTCATTCTCTTGACTTGCTCGTCGTGATATTATGGTACGGCAGCTGTGCCCACGCCAGCACCGCCCACCTGGGCGGGTGCAGCATTGGCACTACGTGCACGCCTTTATATCCATACTTGGCGTTTTGGTACAAATAACGCAAGGCTTGAAAGTGGCGTGCCGGCTGGTAGCACTTCGCGTCGGGTCGGGTGATGGTTCATGTATCGCTCGTTCAGTGACGTCACATGTCGATGCGAGCAGGAAACCCCGTGAAAAACCAGATGCCGCCCCAGGGGGATCAGCACACTTCCCTGCCGAATGGCCGCTCGAGTGTCACCTAAAAACCCCTGCTCTCCACTTGTTTTAAGGCATACTTCAGCTTGTTGCGGACGTCGCAATCCACGGCATTCTAATCAACAGACCACATCATCTGCGACATGCCACGATAACCTGTCACATTTACCACGAGAGGGCGGGCGGCGTGTGCGGTCAGCGGGCGCCGAGGCACGGGCGCCAGTTGGTCCCGGCGCAGGTGGGCCGTGCAGCAGTAGCGCGACGGCTCGCTGCCGAGCGGGGCGGCGCAGTAGCGACACCGGCGCGCCCCTGGCGCGTGCGGCGGCTCCGGACCGCGCCGGTCGGCGCTCGCGGCGCCTCCGTCTGCCTAGGTGTGGTGTGTGTGGCAGGGTGTGGCGGGCCACACGCCGCCACACAGAGCGGCCGGCTACAACCAGCGAGCCTGAATGCCGACTACCACCTCAGCGTTGCGGGCTGGCGCATCACGAGTACATCAGCAAGTTATTGCCAGAAGAATCTCCGACAAATGGCCTCCCATGCCGCGAGTCATCGCCGTCGGCGTGTGCGGGTGCTGGCGCGGACCGCTGCAGTCTGGCCGGCGCACTGCCGCAGAGTCCGGCAGCAACATTCCGCCCGTCTCCCCGCCCGCCGGACGCGCCACCACACACCGGTCATGTACACCAACTGTATTACATCGTTGGGTGTGAACATCTACTCATTGTCGGTCGCACACAATACAAACGTCGCATTCGCGGGAGACCATGGTCAGGGCCCGGCGCCGGACGGACGCGAGGCCGCGGGGTACGTAACGCGGGTCCCGTCCAGCGCGACTGCACTGGACACGCCTGCAGCGCCTGCCGACGCCGGAGCGCACGGTGGGCGGCCGGCCGCTGTGTCCACATATCACGCCCTGGCCGGCCAGCGCAGCCTGACCGACCGCATCTGCGAGTACAGACGCGGCCCCAGGAGGAGAGGAGCACGGCTTCTGAGGAGCTGTTTGCAGGGGAGGAGGGCCGGCGCTCGGCGATCACTGAGGGACCAAGCCGAAGAACGGGGCTGTTGGGGCGCCCCCGGCCGGATGGAAAGGACGAGGGAAGACACACCGTGCGTGGGCGAGAGCTCGAGCTCCAGGGAACGAGACGAGCGCCGCCACCTTGGGTTACGGTTCGGGGGAGATTGTTTGCGGTCAGACGTACGCGGCGTGCCCTACGTCGCCGCGGGACGACAGCGTGGCCTCTAAGGAGGTCCGCTGTCCCCGAAGTCACCTCATCCATCGGTCTGGCGGGCCCTGAAGCCCGCGCCCACCTCCGCCAGCAGCCGGCCGGTCTCCGAAACACGGGGAGGAGACCTCGTCGCTTCTCACCCCGTGCATTGGCGGGCATGCCATAGCCCCGCACGGACCAACTGGCCCAAAGCAAGGCACGCCGACATGACATTTCTAGGCACGTCAGCGAGCTCGTGTTCAGGAGCGACGACGGAAGAGGAGAAACACATTTGCCACCAGATTATTCGACTAATAAATACACGGCACAGACAAACGTAACGCATTGAGCTCGTCGCTCCATTGGTTATGGACTGGATCAAATGTGGCTTCGTCCAGTTGAGCTGTGCACCACGCGGATACGCTACAGAAGTACGGGGGCCAGGGGTAAACGCGCGGGTGAAGACCCGCAGAGACCCGATCGGCGGGTAACCGACAGGTGAATAAGTACCTACGCTGACCGGCCAGGTCAGCCCAGCCGTCGGTGGGTTGATTGCCCTCGACCGTCGGCGCGAGCTGCTCCCCGCCCGCCGCGCCGGCAGCGAGCGCCTCTCACGCGATCGAGGACCGACGACGGGGCGGGGCGGGGCGGGGCGGGGCGCGCGGCCGCGGCCCGACCGGGAGGGGAGTCCGGGAGTCGCCGGGGGGACGGACGGACGGACGGACGGACGGACGGACGGTCGGTCGGACGGCCGGTCCGAGCGTCACCCTCACCCGGCCGGCGGTCCCTGCTTTGGCCGAGCCGCGTCGGGCCGCGCTGACTCCGAGGGGTGGGTGGAGCGGGCCGGCCGGCCGGGCGTGCGGCGTGGGGTGCGCCGCCCATGGGGTCCTCCCACTCGACCGCACCAAGCCAGCGGCTCACAACTGGACCCGAGTGGCGTCGCCCACACGCGCCGCGCACTCCCCGTACGAGAGTGGTGTCGCCCACACGCGCCGCGCACTCCCCGTACGGTGCACGGCTCGGCGACGATTGTGGGAGAACATGTTAGGAAACGGCACAAGTTTGAAGCAAAGAACGGACTCACTGGACGCGCAAACCGAACAGCCGTCCAAAATGACGTAGTCAAGGACCGGGCGTCCCAAATTATGCGGTAAGTCACGAGCTAATGGAACAAATTTGTAGGATAAGCACCCGTACTGTGAGTAGAACAAAACATTTAAAGTCCGCGAGGACGAACATGAAACATTGCAAAACAATACAATATACCCATTTCATGCGCGAATCCAGTAAGTATTTCCTGCACTTGTTTGATATGAAGCCTCAGGCGAAAGAGTAGAATAAATCTTACGCAGCAAACAGGACGAAGGACACAAGAGGCGAGACCGGGAAAATTCGGCCCTGAGAAATTATGCTAAAAGAAAACAATGCAGCCAAATATTGAATTACACAACCTCGATCACTGCGACATTGCCCGCAGATTCATGCCGCGAGACTATCACTTCGCCGCTGATCCTGACTCCAGCATCAAGACCTAGACTCGCCGAACATCCTGCCTCTAAACGGACAAAGACGGGTGCGTCTGGCACTTGGAGCGCTTCCCACCGACTCCAGCGCCAGGGCCGGTCAATTGCGACGGCTGAGACCACAGGCCGAGGCGCGGCTTACCGGCCCGTCGCGCCGGGGAGCTGCGGGCAGCCCCTCAGCCCGAGCAGGCGGCGCCGGCCCGCGCTGATCGACTCCCGCGAGGAGCAGGCGTGACACACAGGACCAGACACCGCACCCGACGGCAGGTCTGCCAGCTGGACAAAGCACACTGACCGTGGAGAGTCGCAAAGCGCGACAATTAGGAACGTCTGCATACCGTCGCCAGCGGACCGAAACGCGACAGAAACGGGAGCACTGCAATCAGAGTACGAGAAAATTTGACCACCAAAGAGTGCCGACGTCTGCACCAATAGCTTAGGATGCCACAAACCATCAAAGGCCGGCAAGAACATCCCAAAGCTCCAGAGAACGGAGGAAACGGATGGAACTCTCGGTTAACAACAGGAGTATCTGAAAGCGCCGTTAAACGAATGAAACGTTTAAAACCTTTAGCGAATAATGATAACTTAAAACAGTGAATATATAAGCCTCGAATAGTGATCAGCCTCAAACGAACGAAGGATCACCTGAAACTGCCCTGACAGGATGTCTTTCCACGCTATATGATTGGAAGGCAAGCATGAAAGCTTCGATGGGAGCAGAGGTAAGATGATCTGGGCCTGCAGTGGGCGATGCTGCTGGCTTTCGGAGATGGCGATCGATCGGGAACTCGCTCACAAACTTGACGCAACGCGTCACCTGTTTCCACACTCCACGCCTTTCGACCCCAGACAAGCTGCAGTGGAGGGTCGAAACGCCCGGCGACTAGAAACGCACATAACACGGGGAGCTCAAATGGGCTCGAATCGATACTAAGCGTACCGAATCAAGCCAGGTCAGCTCCAGGCTAAAATCAAAGGTCCGGACGATACCGAACACCAGAAGATTATCATACGAAATGATAAGATTGGTCGCACACTCGGTAACTACCCGGATCACATAAATCCCACCAAATTTAAGCATCCCAGATATCTGCTCCCCACTAAGTCAATGTAATTCGGATACCCAATCGAATGATAGTCAACATAACCAAAACTGTTGCAGTGTTTTCAAACGTTTAAGACCGGCTTGCGAGGTACAGCGCGGTCTTCTGTGGCCGCCAGCGCCCTCCCTCTCGGTCCGTGTCGCCACACGGTGGGCGGCGGTGGCGCCGACCGGCCGCGACCCCGGCGCGCTCGGAGCGAGAGGGCGCTGCGGTCGGCTGTGACCGGCCGGTGCGCGCCAATGTCAATCTTCTAGCGTTCAGGCATCGTCGGCTAATAGTCAATCGGTCCGTTCTTTGACTGTCAGCGCCGGAATGTTGAAGTGGTGACACATCTGCCGCACCTGCCGACAGAGACACGATGTCAGCGCCGGTGTCGAGGACGCACGCCGCGGATCGCCGTGGTTGGCTGCTGGCAGCGAAAGATCAGGGCCACGTCCATTCTGCAGTCCTGACAATTATTGCGCGATTTACCGTAACCAGCGAAATACTGCGACAAACAAATGGTCGAAAGATGGTGAAAGACGGCACTCGATGCCAGGAATTCTACAATTGTGTCGCGAGTTTCATCAACAGAGGGAAGAATGATTGTGATGAAAAAGCATGCCTCCCGCACCTTAACATTCCAACACGCGCCATGCTTCTTTGGGTCATACCCCTCATCCATTAGCACATGGAATGTCTAATGTAAGCACTGCTGCTCAGGGCAAGCGTAGCCCACTAAGCCAGCATCGGTGCAACCCGTGGCGTCCAACTTACCACACACACTCCGTAGTGTATGTGAGCGATCGTGACGAAAACAGCCAGCGACCACAGTGCTGCCATCTCTGCGGGCGTCGTGGAAGGCGCGAGTAGCGCCACGCCCGCCGCGAGCGCCACCGGCGCCAGCAGTTTGTTAAGCGCCTGTACGTCATTGTTGGTCATCTGCGCCACGATCAGGCGACACTGGAACGGAACGAGACCGGTACAGGTTCGGAGGAGATCACAAGACGGCGCAACGGAGCAGAATCACGGACGGAGAGACGGCCAGGCAGCGCTGCAGCGGAACAAAATCAGTGCAGACTGGGAAACGATCCGAGAGTACTGGAACAAAACAGCCAAAATAGAAACAACTGGGTTATTATGGAGTGCAACAAGACAACACCTCCAGCTACAAGCCATCGGATGGTGCTGCATGTTGCAACAACACGGAACGGATACGCCGCAAACAAGATAAAAACACACGTTATGTCAACTCAAGACCAGAGACTAGCTGTACCACCAAGGAGTGAAAAACCATGTCTTGCATTTGTAACAATGACAAACATGGCTTTTGCCGTTGGATTTCCGAGTTAGAACTGGGGGACAATAGCGTGTCACCCAACGGTGATAAGATGAACTGTTCCCGCATTCACAGCAAAGCTAAACGCCCGCGTAGAATACCCCCACTTGTCTCACCGAAAAAAAACAAGTAAAAAACTGACCTCGCGGGGGTAACAATTTTGATCGTTTATCCCACGCATCGGCTGCCATGGCTGGAGCCATTTTTTGGCATCCCAGGAATGTCACAGCTACACGTGACATGCATAGCAAAAACCGTTTAAACCCTAAGCACGGCCAGCCTCTGACTTTGACCTGAGGTTTCTGGACTCGCACGCATCCGTATCTCCCCGGCACGAACCCCTCTGCCCCATGCCTTCACAATTGCAACTAGCCGCGTGCGACAGGCCACAGGCACATTCCAGTTGCAGCTATACTCGTTAACAGCATGACCACTGCACTCAAGCCGTGCCTCCACTTACGCAGATGTTGGAGAACACGGCACCGATGGTGAAGCTGAAGAGCCGCAGGTCGGTGTTGATGATGTCGCACGGGGAGAACGCCACCCACAGCGAAGTGATGACCAGCAGGATGGCCGGCGAGAGCAGCGGCAGCAGCGAGGAGCCTAGGCTGCGGCCCTTGCCCGTACCGTCGCGGTAACTCCTGTCAGAGGAAGGCGCCGTCAGAGCACACTCCTGTCAGAGGCAGGCGCCGTCACAGCGCACCCCTGTCAAAGGGAGGCGCTGTCAGAGCGCACTCCTGTCAGAGGGAGGTGCCGTCAGTGCCGCCAGAACGCACCCCTGTCAGAGGGAGGCGCCGTCAGTGACATCTTCCTGTTTCGGGGGAGGGGGGGGGGGGGGGGGAGGCGCCATCAAAGCACAGCTATCCGTTGTCGCCCATCATAGAACGGTCGGCCGCTGGTTGCCGTTTATTCGTGAAGCCGGATCCCACGTTAAACGTCGTGTTTTTACGACACCCTCTCCGCTGGGGCGTCACCCAGTCGGAGAGATTGCCGCAGTCCGACGACGGCCCGAGAGACGCTGCCGCTGTAGACGCTGCCGCCTCGAGTCATTGTCAGCGGCTTATTAACACCGATAAGGCACGCCTGGACAACAACGGCACGGCACGTCTTAAAGTGTCACACGCTCCGCCACGCCCAGCGGCGGACCGACGTCGAGTCCCGACAGCACTGCAGCAGGTCAGCACGGGCCAAACAATACGCCCAAACTTCATCGGAAGTGGCGCGATCATACCGCGGCACCACGCCGGGGCTTCGTCGTGACATCAGCGGCGCTGTATGTAGCATCGCCCTGAGGTCGGAGCGCTCCGCCGCCCATCTCAACAGGCTGATACACAACTTCTTCAGCAGCCTCACCGCGCCAGATGCCGCGGACAAGCGCTGGACCGCGCACTCACTTGTAGACGTTCCACAGCGTCATGGGCAAGCTGGTGCCCAGCGTGCCCAGCCACATGAGGATCTCGAACGAGGCGCCCGCCGTGATCACGGGCGTGCCGTCCGCCGCCCGGTACAGCGCGAACTTCCACAGCGTGTAGTCGCCGAAAAACGTGACCAGGTACAGCACCAGGATGCCCTGGCGGCGGCAGTGTGCCTGTCAGCGGCGGCGGGCAGGGCTGGTCGGTCGCGCCAGGGTCGACAGGGAGGTCACCACGCGGCCCACGGATCCGCTCCCTTGCGTCGCGGTACTCCTAATGGGCGGTGGTACGCTGCGCACGTCACGACCCACGCGAGAGTCGCGCCAGGGTTGACAGGGAGGTCACCATGCGGCCCGCGGATCCGCTCCCTTACGTCGCGGTATTCCTAATGGGCGGTGGTACGCTGCGCACGTCACGACCTACACGAGACGGCATGTTAGCCAGCATACTCCACGACCTGACGGACGGGCTGGCAGACATCGTACCCTCTTCGGTCGAAACATATCAAGCAGTGAGCACTGGGACACGCTGACAACATATACAAAACCTGTACTGCAAAACATCGGCGCATATCATTAGCACATATCAAGGGATCGTAGATTAGACCTGTCACCCCCTCTATTCAGAGCAACGGCGGGGCAGGGCGGGTCCAGTGGACATAACGGGCCTCCTATGTCCGCTCTCTTACCAGTTGTGACACGTCATAGCCCCAGGGCAGGAAGAGCAGGCCGGTGTTGTACTTCTCCCAGTGCGACAGGAAGAAGCACATCCACACGCTCCACATGCAGTAGAACATGCGGATCGACGGGATGCTGTACTCGAGCTTGCCGAATACAGAAAAGAGTGTGATGGGGATGAAGAAGGAGGTCCACGAGTCGAGGCCGTGGTCGAACAGCTCGCCCAGTGGCCCGCTCACGCCCAGCCGGCGCGCCTGCTTGCCGTCAATGCCGTCTGCGCACACAGAGGGAGGCAAGGCCGGTCAGCCAACGCACGCCATCGTCTGAGGAGCGGCACAGCGGCGCTCGACGCACGCCGTGGTAGGCGGTGGTGGAGGTAGCTGGTTGTCAGGCGCACACACGGGGATATTTCCGCCCCGGGAGGGGGGGGGGGGGGGGGCGAGGCGCACGGTTGGCAATATCCCAAACCAAGATCGAAACTGCAAAAAGTCAGGCATAAACTCCCTTAATCTCAATGAATGATTATAGGGGTTTATAGGAGTTGATAGAGACCCGAGCCAACAATCGCGCCATAGGCTAACATATCAGCTCAAATCCCCGAACGTTGCCGAGCACAACCCATGTTCGCGAGGCGCCGGCCGTAAATAGCCGGTGGCGCTGGGGCGACATCAATCGGTCTCCATGGCGACGGTCGGCCGCCGGCAGTCGGCCGTACCGAGCGTGTGTGACAGGAACAGGTTGATGGCGGCCACCAGCCAGACCCAGCGCGGGATGGCCGGCACGGCCGGCTTGTTGGACGTGCTCGACGCCACGAAGTAGTAGTCGTAGACGGTAAGCATGACGAAGTTGGCCACCGTGAGCAGGAAGCCCGTCAACGTAAGCAGGTTCGGCGCCACATTACGCGGACAGATCTGGAATGGTACGCGCCGCCGGCTCAGACCGCCGCGCAGAGACCATTGGCTGCCGGAACGCACATGCGGCGACCATCGGCCACCGGAGCACGCACGCGGCAACCATCGGCTACCGGAACACATACGGCGGCCATCGGCCTGCGGAACACACACGGTGGCCATCGAACACCGGAGCACGCACGGCGGCCGTCAGTCAGCGGAACACAAACGGCTGCCATCGGCCACCGAAACACACACGCGGCGACCATACCGGCAAAGTGACAATGTTCGTTTTACCACCTGACGATAAGCACAAATACCGGGAAATCCCGAAAACCCACTGCGTAACCAAGTTCAACGCAGGGGATTACGGAACAGACAGCCGACAAATCCCCTTCGGCGGACAGAGAAATGGCAAGACGTTTCACACGTGTAAAGGCCTGAAATACTAACGATTCGTCTGGGCGCAACATGGTTATCCCCGATCCACCCGCTACGCCGGAAGGCTATATATGGTGCTGCCTGAGACGATGAAGATACCTCAGTACCACGGGAATCCACTACGCTGGGGCAAAATTTGTCCAAAAAGTCGGGCCAGGTAGGCGGCGAAGTACGCACGTACGTAACACAGTGCGCTAGCGAGAAGCGCAATCCAAACTCTGCGGCAGGAAATTGTTCGTACTATCAAATTTAAGGCTTCGCATTATATATATATATATATATATATATATATATATATATAGATATATATATATATATAGATATAGATATAGATATAGATATAGATATAGATATAGATATAGATATATATATATATATATATATATATATATATATATATATGTATATATATATATGCATCATTTTAGATATCATCCCATCAGATAAAACAAAGCAGTGAGTGAGCACGAGAATTCGCATCACATCTGATGTGCAGCGTTTTTTTACGAGCGACATAACAGACAGCTCAACGCTGCTTGATCTGCAATTTCTTCAAACCAGGCGCGTCCGAACTGCGCAGTTATACGAAACGCGCGATCATTATAAACATACGTTCTTGTCTTCCACATATGTTTTTTTAAGGATAGCCAAACCCTGGTCCGAGACCCACTGCGCGATAACCTTGACCGATGAGAGCGGCGATAAACAATCAAAGGAATACGCAGCTGAGGTAAGCCGCAAGAGAGGAGCACGTAGTTATTAACGTACCAAATGTGTTCCTTGTTGGGTGATTAAGAATTAAGCATTTATAATTGTCCGATAAATGCTGACTGGTGGCACCCGGGTGCGACGACAAATGTGACGCGAAGCTTAACAAAGACGGGCAAGTTGCTCTAAACCGCCCTTCAAGCGCGAACCTTAACTCTTCGCTTAGACTTCCGGGCACACGATCCCGCGCGATCACGCCCGCACTTTAACAATGTGCAGGACACCTGACCAAGACGGCTGGACCGCGCCGCCCCAGGGTCGGAGTTCACAGTCATGAGTGCGGGGCGGGGCGGGCGGCAGCGCGCCGGTGGCGGGTTCGGCAGCGCCCGGCAGTCACATGGCAGGGGCGGCTGCTCGGCGCCGCGCCCGACGGTATCGAGCGGTGCGTGCGTCCCGGCGGGAGCAGGGTCCGGGCCCGCCGGGGGGCCGCTTGGACTCGGGTCCGACGGGCCGCCCGCGCGGTGACGGGCCGCTACTGACCAGACTCGCCACACGAATTCCAACAATGGCACAAACTGTCCACCAACTTCAATAATGTTGTTTGCAAACATTGATGATGTACAGTGGATAGATGCCCATGGAATGACATTACCACAGTTAAACCAGGAACTTCCATCCTTAAGCACCAGAGCTGAAGATTAAGGGCTTATTCCACACTAGCCGCACCCTGGCCATTATCACGTCAACCACACTGCTAAGCTTCCGACGCGCACAGATCAGGGCCGCCTGAAGTCGCAGTATGCCACCAATTACTCCATCAAAACCACACTATTTAACTATTTCCCATGATCAGAACCCCAAGCCGAACATTTAGCGCACACCGCGCTGAGAACGGAGCACCAAACCACGCGGTTGTAGCGTGTGGACTTGAGTGGACGAGAATTTAGAAGTGGGTTGACCTAATCAGATAAAGCACTTGCATACTGAGGTCGAAAATAAAGGGGTTCTGAAATCAGGTGACCCACATTTTGCGACAATCTACTAAAGGGGTCGAGACCAACTACAATCACAATATTCTCAGCATTTCGCCTCCACCATCACTGATTTTATCAGCAATGCTCAAAGGGTAACAAAGCATGACACTGTATAGCTTACCTTGACGACTGCATTCCAGAAAGGGTGCATCACATAGTTGCTAAGAGGACTTGTGTCAATGGAGCTATACTGGAAACATCACAAGAAGGTGCTGCAGTTAAAGCATAGTGATGATCAATGAGCACCAAAGGGTAGGAGGCGAAAACCCGCGATGTTGATGAGACAGAAAGCCAGGGTCCATTGCAGATGTCTCATGAGATGTCCAATGACCATGAACATTTCAAAAGCAAGCACAGATCAAATGCAGATGAAATATCTCAGTGGAACTTCTCACACACGACCCAACACCATACAAACATCAATGAAACATGACAAAAACCAGCAGACCAGTGATCAGTCCAACAGTAATAAAGCTGCTTTCCTTCACCCTGGTTTGTTAACATTAAAGCAACCATCTCATGGAACTAAAAAGCCATTCTGTATTAACCTTATAGTTTTCAAATCCTGTGATGTGTTCATGCCTCAAATACTTAGTATTGAACAGCATGGCCCAACCACTGCAGACTAGCTCAGTTTTACAGACAACCAGTAGGGAACACTGAGACTTCTTGCACTGATGCCCTTGGCACTCTCTTCTTTGCACCTGGAACATTGAATATGATTAGAATTGGGGATGCAACCTTAACAACTCTTGCCAACCTCTTTTCATGTTTGTTGTTAACCATTGCACACAACATGGCAACAGTATATTCTTCAGGCAAACAGATTCTTACCACAATATTTCAGATGATTTCCCAATGAAGCACTCCCATCATGCAACAACAAAACTGCTGGAATAATAATCAGTTCTGCTGTAGCATAATCCATCAGAAGGTGGGCTTAATACCTTACACAGACAGCATTCACAAAACTACATGCTTTTCGCATTGTTTTCACATTCACATTGTTCACACAGTTTTTTAAAAGCAAACTCACCTTTTTCTGGTCAAAGTATATTGTCCTCACAACAATGTACACTCTTCACACTTATCCATCACAGCCTGAGGAAGGGGAGATGACATGATTACAAACATATTATAAACACTACATATTTTGAGTTCAAGAGAGCAATATTTTCCAGGGGCCTTCTGGCCAATGTGACATTCAGGGAACAGAGGGAACACTAGATGCATATCTTCCCTGATCAAACTGTTGCACATATCTGTGTCAACAGATGTCCAAAAAACACAAAAAAATCAGAACAGATGGTTTCTGATCAATGCAGGGATCTTCTCAAACCAGCAAAGGCCTCCCTTTTCCAAAGCAGGGCCTTCTGTTCCACAGAAGAGTCTCCTGATGCATGTAATGCCTCTGATCCAGAACATGATCCCTCCAATTCAGAAGGGGGCTTCCTTGGGCACCAAATGACAATCACAGTTGGCATGCCTGTAAGCTCTAATAAAGAACAACAACAAAGGGGCTTCCTAATTCGGCAAAGGATCTAATCATCCCAAAACCGAGTGTCCTGTTCTGGAGCTGCCATCATTTGATACATGAACAGTGCTTCCTGTTCCAAAAAGAGGGTCTCCTCTCCTGACACATACAGGGCACCTCCTTATTTGGGAAAGTGCCTCCTAATGCACAGTAGAGATTCCTGAGATAGCAAAGGGGCTCCTCAACATGAAATTGGGCCCTCTGTTCCAGACCATGAGTTACACAATTAATAATGCCAGCCTTATGAACCAGACAACTGGCCTCTTAATGCACAAAACAGCTTTTTCTGAGCCTGATTTAGTACTCTCTAGTTCATCTAAACCTGCATAACCTGAGCCCTTTGGTTTGACCAGAAGGAGCCCCCTAAAATTTTGAGGGGGCAAAGACATACTCTTGCCTCTCTTGCTGCCAGCAGGAGGGCAACTGCCCCCCCCCCCCCCCCCTTGTTGTGTCAGTCCCATTGTGCCAGTGCTGAATATTCTTGACTTTAACATTGCTGATGATGTGGTTCAAAATTGTGGAGTTTGTCAAGACCAAAGAATAGATAAATTTCAGCTGCGACAAAATATCTGGCAGGTTGATATAACACTCAAAGAAGCAGCAGTTTTTTCCTCCATTGTTGTATGCTTTTATTATTAACAAACATATCTGAAAAGGGAAATTTCCAAATATCAGCCAAATTTCATTAAACTGAATCCAAAAGCTTGGTCTACACCAAACCTGCATCACCACCACATCCTGGCCTGTCTTTCATCTCTTGAGCTAGTGAACTTGATCGACAAGCACTTTTCCTTGTTATAGTTGTCAGTGTGAAATCTGAGATACAAGAGTGCAGAGAGCTCAGAAGTGTCTACATCATGATGCATAAATTGCCTTGTTGGTACACAAAAGATGCCAAGAAACACAACATGGAGTTCAAAAATTATACTCATCAAAGCAGCCACAAAGATAAGTCATAGTTCTAAGACCAAAAACTACTACAGATCCATAGACCTCACTGACTGAAATGCTCTTGATTCTGGAGGACCCATAACAGTTCAGACATAGACCATGGTGTGAGAAAACATCATGTCCAGCATTTGCCATAGAAGTACTCTCAAACCTGCCAACTGCAAAAAGAAACTGAAAAACCCTAAAACACCATGCACTTTGAACAATAACAAAAAGAGGTTCAGCACGATTTCACCGTGCTTAAGTTAAGCACACAGGATGTGGTTTAGTTAGGTTTAGAACCTAACTAACACAGGTTAGGTTCACTGACACTAAACCTAGCACAGGTTAGGTTTAGTGCACCAACGACCCCCATAGGTGGCTGGCTCAGAGGGTACATCTTGCAGACTGGCTTGAAGAGACAAATAGGTCTGACAGATCTGAGTGATAGGTGGATCGATTCTACCATGACGCAGAGCGACCAAATTATTAATTTAAACAATTCAAGCAATCTTTCACTAAACATTCCAGCCACACCCTACAACGTTCCATCGCATCCTCACGTGACGATATCCACTAGAGAGCATTATACTTACTGCTTTCGTGCCTGCCTGGATTCATCTGTTGACGAACTGTCACCCTCAAATCACATCAACTAAAGGTCTCCACCGCACCAGCCCTCCGCAAACTGCACTCGCGCCCACTATCCCACCACCCCTCACCCAACGCTGCAACGCGTCTGAAACTGGATGAAACCTTACAGCCACAATTGCCGTCCACCTGCGCCGGAACCGGCGACTCACAACAGGAGCGAGACAAGCAATTGATGTTTTCGGCCCCACAGTACGGCAAATCCTTTTCTTGCATTTGGTAAACTCCTTATCTTGCCTTACCTTACCTTATGGCGATCGAGAATTATAAAGGAACACTATGCCTGTAGATCCCCATCTTGAGGCTCCCGGTCCGGTAACCAAACAGTCTCAAATTATGGGAAGATTCAGTCGTACATGATGTCAGCCCAGTGCATATCAAGCCTAGACTTGGACTGTTCATCTGAGGTCGGCGACACGACCGGTTGTGGAAGAGTGTTCCAATCGTTTAGGTTGTTTATGGATTGCCCTTTCTCCTTAATTGAGTATTGTAGGTGACAATATTGCTGTTTATACCGTAGAAAGGACAAATATATCCTACAACACAGCGGTGGCCGAAGCAGTGACTCGGGACAGGGGCCGAAAACACCATTTCACCATGTAAACTAGGGCACATTGAATGAGAACTTACGGTTAGTACCACCGGTATCGTCTACGTGCCAGTGGTTCCTCGCGCTATTTTTCCCTGATCCATGAGGTTGAAGTCGCGTCTTTTCCCTTATTCTATTCAGTTACTACACCTTTTGCCCGAATTCCAAACTTCAGCTGTGGACGACATACAAACTGATTTCGAGAACTACATGCGTAGTGGTAATTATCAAAATACCCACATTCTAGTAGAAAACGTAGTGGTTTCTCTTTCAATATTTGTAGTAATAGTTGTGACGTCTTTGACCGCTAAGATGCACCACTTACTTCATGCCGTCTCGTCCATCCGCGCTGTATGTTTATTTCTAATATTTCGTCTTTGCTTACACGTCGTTTTTTTAATATGCTCAGATTGGCCAAACGGTTCACCGCTACCAATTAGATGCCGGTTGCTGATGACTCATCATTTCACAAGGCCTAAAACGTGCTGAGTGGGCAGAGGTTGTTGACTTCGGAGCCTTCATATGGAAGCACCGGCAACATCATCAGGAACTGGCTGGGAGCCGTCGCCATCTTAGAAATCTCCGGCGTGGTGGACGGGCGTGAGGCTAGCGGTTACGATCGGGTTGTATCTATGAAGAGTATGAAACCATTACTAGGGTTTTTGTAGTACAGCGAAGTCGTAAAGGTTTTTCATTCAGCAAAGTGCTCGCCAGAACTTGATGAAGGAAGCAAAATCTCTGACCTCCAGTCCTTGAGGTTGGTTCGGTGTTCTTTGGTCGGCCCCCATTTGGCCCTTGACTGGTGCCTGCGAACCCTGCACATGATAACAATGGCCCCAAAGTAGTATGCTCAAACAGTTAAATGTGGTCTTGACATGTTTTTTCATTATTGAATATGCAAGTTCTATGAAGTACTGGTCCCTGACAGGGACATAGCCATGGTGGGGGGCATGGGCTGAGCCACAGGTTTCCGAGATGCTGGGCGATTTTGCAAAAAATGGTTCAAATTTCAGAAGTTCCTTCAAAGTTCAGCTTTGTCTCTCCCCTCCCTTAGACAGTTCTGGCTGGAGATGGGTTGCCTGGTTCCAACTCCAAGGGAGTGAACCTGGCATGGAAGTATGTATTCATGGGTGCTTTCTGTATTCCAAGAAGTCCTGCATTCCGGGGCTGCCCAGGCCAAAGGGAGTTTCTTTACCCAGAAAGATGTTTATTTGGACTCATTGGCCAGTTGATTGGGGCAGATCTAATCCTGCCCCAATTGTGCAGCCAGCACGCTGTTATGCTGTCTGAGAGTCAGTCTTAATGTGGCTGGTTTATCTTTTATTTAACCTGTTCAGCACAAACAAATGTACACCTCTTGTCTTGTGTTTGAATGTCATGGTGGATCTGTTGCCACAGGTGCTCTGTTAGTAACAATGTGTATGACCGGACAAAAAGAGTGTGCATAAAATGATATGGCAGTACGTAAAACAACTGTGATGGAGTTGCGACTGATGTGACACATTTGTTACTATATGACCAGGACAGCCATTGTGTCTTAAAACCCAAATCATCGTCATCATCTATTGTGCTGCTGGCTGTTCTTGCTTCTACAGATTGTAACTCCTTGATTTTGGATGCAGCAGAGTGCACTCTGTTGTTCTACTCAAGCTATATGCTAATTCTGCACCTACTCCACAGTGCCATGAGCTGTCCCTGTTAGGATGTTCCTGCCCTCAAATTTTCATAAGCTGTCTCAAATGTAAGCTCTTAGCCCAGCCCCACTTTTACAAGATCTTGTGTAGATCTGCCATGCATTTTTTAAGACTGGCTGGTGGTCTGGAGTAGCTCCAGCACCAGTGGAGAGACTAGGGGCAACTGACCCCTTGCAGTTTGCTAAGGACTAAACATGGACTTTAGCAGCTTGCCCAAGTTGTGGGGAGAAAAATTATTTTTGGGGTAGTCCACAGGCTCAGCCCTCTCTCATGGCTCTAGTTGTTCAGTAAGTTAGGGGACTCAGCCCTCTCTCCCAGCTCTTTGATTCTAGCATTTCTAGACAAGCATACCTTTTGTCCCCCTAAAATTGCAGTGAGTACAGATGACCTGCGTAGAGGAAACCATCAGAATAAACAGTTAAGTATTTAGGCATGTGGGAGATAACAACTTTGCTACATGATACCCTAAATTGCTGGCATCGGGCCTTAGAGGCTAACAGGATTCCATCAGATGCATGGAAGGACCCATCCAAAGTTGAAACCCTGCCAGCTCAAGAGTAAGCCTGGCAAGAAGGCCCTGAGCCTCTACAAAATCTAGAAGTTCTTTTCACTGACACAGCTATTCAACTAGTAGGTCCTAAGAAGTGCTTAAAGGTGGCCAAATATCTGACACATTTTTGCAAGATAGAGGATAGGATCAGTCCTCCAAACCCACTTGGAAGATCTCCATGTTTTGCTGGTTCAGCTGGTGCTGAATCATATACCACATCAGTGCAAGGGTGCCCAAGCCAGGATATGCTATCACTAGTGAAAGGTTTTCTTTGTATAATAAGTCAAAACCTGGTCTTTGTGCTAATGCCAGTTGAATCATGTGAGTTCTAGGCTGCTTTTAAAATGGTACCATTACCCTGTTTGTAAGAAAAATGTGTGTGCATACTGGCCACCACCAGAAAATGCATAGTTTCTGACTAGTTCATCTAACATCACTGGAGGGTTGCAGAACTGGTGCATTAGCCTGATACCACGGCCTCACTGCCAGCAAACAGTATGCCACACCCTCAACACCACACAGTACAACACCCTTCACTGCCCCCACTCCCCCTCACGTCTCACTCAGAGCTCAGTCGCACAACCCCTTTGCCACAACCCTGTAGAGGAACATGACGTGGGCATGATTCGGCGTGGCCTACTGTAACACATAACACCGATAGGACACGGTCACTTGATGGCATTGATAGAGCACGAACATGCGGTCTGCGCTCCGCAGAATGACTGAGTGACCCACTTCGCGATATGTGCTGGAATTTGCACAACTGGCGAGTGGCCTTGGAATGTGGAACCACTGCTGCAGCTGTGATCACGGTCCAGCTGGCACAGCAAGTTCAGACAGAACATTTTGTGAACAGGACCTTAGATTGTACCTTGTATTGTACCTCCTGTGAGAAGGCTTTCATGTAATGTATACACAAATTGGTCACACAATATGTATCTAGTTTCTACCCTCCAGTACTGGATGTGTGTTAAGCAATCTAGTATGCATTACCTTTTTGCCAGTTCAGGGTAATAAGGCTGCCAGTCCAAGGTATGGAACCTGCAGTGTGGTATGCTGTCTGGAATGCTAATGCACATTCAAATGGTGTGATGCATCATTTATCCACCATATCCAGTTGGAACAAAATGAAGACAAGCTTTTTCGAAAATGGAAGGAACATGTGGAAAGACATGGAACTGGGAAAGTCGCTAGTGCACGACGGCTTTAGGTAACGGGTGCTGAAGACTGGTGCAGAGTGGTTAAGCCCGGTCTTCATCAGCCAGTTTGGTTTAAGTTTTTTTTTTGTAATTCAATGGGCCATCAGACAGTTTCATCTCTTCTGCTCAAGGTTATCCTCAGCAATTTGCAGGCAAAAACATAAAGATCCGCAAAAAGCTTTTCAAAAGAACATTGGGCCTTCAGACAAACTACTCAAACCATGGCTTTTGCTGATGTCAGATTCAGGTCTATCGCACAAAGCTGTCAAAACTTGCTCTTGTTTTCACAGCATTCTATATGTGTATTGAGACATTCAGATAATGTAGGGACACATGGAAGTACTGGTTGAGATATGTCATGCTGATCAATACAGTGACATCTTAATGAAGCATCAATGATACTGATGGTGTAGTATGTGTCCAGCAGCAGAGCCAATTGCCCATGCTGTTAGGCAGTGTGGGAAAGTGTCTGTTTCCAGGCTGCACTTTGGATTCTTGGTATGCAGCACAAAATCACCACTGAGCAACATATGTCATAGGTCCATTTGAGAAAAATATACCTATGTGTTCGGACAAGCAAGACACCATAGCGTGCCTAGATTGACAATTGTTGTCGTTCAGAGTTATTCACAGGTATCCCGTATTTTACCTAGCGCATCAGCAGCGATTGGCTGGCATCTGTACAGTATCCTCTCCTGGTTGACAGACTCTGCAGTCACCACCATGGGGTCCCAGCTGCTGCTGCGCTGGGACAACCACCTGCCCAGCTTCGCCTGCTCGATGAAAGAGTGTCTGGACGACGGCGACCTCACTGACCTCACCATCTCGTGCCAGGGCCGTGTGCTCCACTGCCACAGGCTGGTGCTCTCTGTGGCCAGTCCGCACTTCAAGCAGCTGCTCAAGGTGCGCGGCGGCAGGGAGCGGCGCCATGGCAGCTGGGCCACCTGCCTCCCCCCTGGGTTTGGGGGTCTAAGTCAAGTGGGAATGACTTCATTTGCTGTTAGTGGAGGAAGCAGGGTCCTCACCATTTCATTGTCATGTGATGTGTAGGTCACAACAAGCCATTGATGCCATTTGAGTTTGAAAAAGTCATGAATGTAACTTGATAACCAGGTATTTGGAAAGCATCGTTATATGCTCGTTTTGTGTCCAATGTTTTCAATTTACCTTCATTGAAGATGGAACATTTGCGGCAAAACTTGCGGGACATGCCCTCAGAGATAGTTCACAGCTCTGTGACTTGACCTGAACTGACCTGTAGCAGTCTTCTTGAAAGACATGCTTAGTGAATACATAGTGAATGCAATGCAATGCATGCGTAGGTCAGCTATCCCAAAGCATATGGTGCTGTCGTTTGCTGTTTTGGGCCAGTGGGGCAGTAGAGATCGGGAACTCTGTCTTCTGCCATGTTGCCACGCATCGGTTGGCCGGTGGCCAGGGGTAAACGGCTCTTGAGCCGAGTGTGGACCCCTGCTGTGCGTCGTATGTCGACACGACTGGTGCATCTTGTGTTGTGGTTCCTACTGGAATAATGCAACTTTCTCGGTCTGTGATTGTTGTGATTGTGTCACCTCAGTAATAAGGGGAAAGTTGAGGTGGAATTGCAGTCCTGCAAAACAGCATGGATGATGGTGCATATGTTTCAACGAAAGTGGTGGCCATGGGACGTGTGTTTCTAGAGAGGATGGTAATGGTTGTTTGCAATAATCTGTTGTTTTGGGGGAGAGGCCCGCCCGGGCGTGTCCGTGCTGGGCTTCGCACACCCCGCCAGACATGGTGCCTTCTGTACGAACCAAACCTTGCACAGTCCATCTTGACTCTCACTTCGTAACTGCTATGCGGGATCGGACGCAGTCCTACGTTTATAGACCCCCAGATGAACTGTGTCAGCCCCTCGGCGACAGTGAGTAAGCACAAGTTACCAGCGTACACGCCGCAACCGAGAAGGCTTAACACAGCTCCGAAAATAGGACAGTAGTAATAGCCTTATTCCTCGTAGAAAAGCCAGGAGATGAAGATGTGGATGCGCTGATATTTTCGGCAATACGCCTATCGAAACGAATGGTAGACTACTGTTATTTGTTTCACTAAAGGCATGCTGCCGAAATTTCAGTGTATCTTTATCTTCATCCTCCCGGTTTTTCTACGAAGAATAAGGCTTTTGCTACTGTCTTATGTCTTTGCATAATATTCCTCGCAAATGCACCTGGCAACTTACGTGGCTCGGAAAATGACATTGACCTGCAAATTAGCTGATGGCCTGCAAGCCCCATCAGCGGTTTCACTTGAGCGTGTTGGCTTGAACGCGTGCTTGCCCGCACAATCAACGCCTCTGTTTGTCGGCAGGCAAACCCCGGCCAGCACCCGATCGTGATCATGCGCGACATTCCGTACAAGGACATCGCCGCCCTGCTGACGTTTCATACTACCAGGGCGAGGTCACCGTCACCGAGGAGGACCTGCCCAGCTTCCTGAAGACGGCCAAGGCGCTGGAGGTGCGCGGTCTGGCCGACGACGCGCACACGGGCGGCACCTCCTCGCGGCCGGTGAGTGGCGCTGCCGACCTTGACGACCTTTGACGGCAGGCCGGCGCGTCCGGCCAGGCCGGCGCTGCTGGCGGGCGCTCGGGCGGCGCGCAGCAGGCGCGCAGCCGGCTCGCGCCGCCGTCTATCAGCCGACTGCGAAGTCTGGTTATCCACTGAGGTATGCCCTGGAATTTTAAGAGCGTGACTGTTAGATCTGGATAGCGTTGGATGGCATTATCAGCGCCCACCGCTGGTATCAGCGCGCCGGCGGGCGTCTTGTTTTAGGCGTGCGAGCGCTTCGGCCAGCGGCGTCTGTGACGGAGCCCTGTGACCTGGCCGTGACCCGACCGTGACCTCTGTGACCGGTGCCTGTGCCACAGGAGCCCCGCCGCGCCTCCCACCTGGAGCCGGAGGTGGTGGTGAAGGAGGAGCCCTGCGACCCGGACGAGGCGCCCGCCGCCCGACACCCGGTCGCCATGACAACCATCAACGACCTGAGCCTGCTGCAGCGCGAGGCGCCCGCCGCCACCGGTGGGTGGAGCCGGGCGGACACCGTCGGGCCGCGTCTCACGGCTCCCGGGACTGGAGGTCATGGAGGAGGTGTGCGGACCAGGTGGCCATGCAGGCGACGGTGCTCGGAGCAGTCGGTGCCAGATGTGGACGATGATTATAGTTGCTGTGGCCGCAAGTGTACGTCTCGGTCCGTGTCGGGGCACCTGTCTGCATTGTTTAATGTTTTTCGTTGTTGCCGGCAGATGGGTTCAGGGCTGGCAGCTCCTTCGTCGAGGTGGGACCAGCGCGCGTGCCGCCAAAAAGTGAGTAGCGCGACACGCAGTTCCATGCTGGTGTCAAGCTGTCCGGTTTGGGCGGCGTCGTTCAGGTTTTTTCACTTACGCTAGTTGGCATTAAGTGTGATTTTATCGTGTGATGTGTATGTTAATATTAGCAGATTTTTGGGCATGTTATGAGCTCCGCATTTTACCGAATTTGACCCGAGACGTTTCACGTTGCGAAACGTCCCGGCTGTGTATCCGAGGGTGCGCCGAGCCCGTGAGCGTTCACGGCTGACTGGTGACGGATAGCTGGCGGCGAGGGGAACCGCGGCAGCGACTGGCGGTGGCCGACGACTTCGACCAGCATAGTCGCGCAGGCGAATGGTCGTAACTGGTGGGAGGGACTCATCAAGCTGAGACGGGACAGGCGTCCTTCTGGCGTTATCACCACACAAGTTCTTTTTTAGCTAATGAATTTGGCATCATGGCCTCGACATCGGCTCATGCCAGTGGAACTCGTGTTGGAGACGAAATTACTTTTGCAATGAGGAGCATTCGGGGCCTTTTCGGGGCGGGAGCTTTGTCAGTGCATTAAGCTGGGTGCGGGCGCATGCAAATCTTGTCCAGTTTTAACTTGCATAGGGGCGTTATTGTCTACGGGAATCATCGCCGGACGGAACTGAAAGTTATGTTTGGCACGAAGGTCATGCTTTCCTAAGAAATGCGAGCTGGGTGGGTAGAACAAATTGTTGGGAATACTGTCGTCAAGGTATAGTGGGTGATGCTAGGATATCGAATGATTCTGATTCAGTCAGTGCTTCGCACCACTCACGTTAACGGCAGTGATGAGTTGCACAAACCGCGGCAGCTTTGGGGAATGATGCCCGGTCTGGAAAAGCCGATCGCTCTGTCAGGCTCGGAAGGGTGGCCTCGAGCGCGCGTAATTACCTCCGGGATTGAGCCGCGGGCTGCGCCGGTCACCCCGACAGAACAGCAGGGCGCTTCCCAAGTGAGCCTTGTTGCGCTGGATCGTCCAGCGACACCATCCGTGCCGCCGCCGTCTCCGTCTCCGTCTCTGCCGCCGCTCTCCGCCGCCGCCGCTCGCCGCCGCCGCCGTCACCGCCGCCTCGCCGCCGCCGCCGGCTCTGACGCGCCATCTGCGCCCCTCTGTTTCAGCCGTGAGCCCGTGCGTGGTTCGGCTGGAGAAGCTGGACGGCGGCGGCGGCGGCGGCGGCGGCGGCGGCGGTGGCGGCGGCGGCGGCGGCAGCGGTGGTGGCGGCAGCGGAGGCGGCGGCGGCGAGGGCGGCGGCGTGACGCACGTGGTACCGGCCCTTACGGGTGACCCGGCCGCCGGCAACCTGGACGAGATGCTGATCCCCGGCACCAGCGCGCTGCTGGACCGCATCCTGCGGCGGCAGCTGAGCCTGCCCGACCGCGGCTACTTTTGCCCGTACTGCACGCGCGAAGTCAACATGCGCACGCTTGGCAAGCACATGACCAGATTCACGGCGGCATGCGGCTGCAGTGCAAGGCGTGTCGCGAGGTGGTGCACACGCGCGTCACCAGCCTGCTCATCAACCACGGCGTCTGCGTGCTGTTGCTCAACAAAAATTCCAAGCTGGGTGACCAGCTGATCCGCAAGCTGTCGCGTCAGATCCGTTCCATCTACAAAAACCGCCGCTTCAAGTCGCAAATGCTAAAGCGCTACCCAGACCTGTCCTACTTCTGCAGCAGCTTCATCTTCGGCCGCGTCAAGCAGCCGTGCGCGCGCTGTGGCCTGGTCCTCTGGTCTTCCAGCATGGCGAGCCACTTGGAGAAGTGCGGCGAGGACGTTATCCAGTGCGACTTCTGCAACAAGCATATGGCGCGCACCCGCCTGCCCTACCACGTGGACATCTATCATCCGGGCAAGGTAATCCAGCAGAAAGCCAGGGTGGAGCTGCCGGCCGACTCCGAGGCGGAGCCGGAGCCGGCCCAGGGCCTGACGCACCCCGTGTTCGGCGACGGCGCTGACTCGGCGACCGGCTCGCAGATCGTCTCCTGCTCCAAGTGCCACAAGAAGATGCGCCAGAACAACCTGCGTCGCCACATGCGCGTCATGCATCCGTGGAAGCCCAGCATGCGGTTCGAGCGACGCGTGGACCCGGCCACGGGCCTGGCGCGCCTGCCGGCCGGCGTCGAGCACGACCCGGTGGTGCTGTCGGACGACGAGCCGCTGGACGGCGCCGACCCCGAACCGCTGCCGGAGCCGGACGACGACGAGCCAGCCGAGTCGGCCGACGCGGACACCAAGTACGCCGCCTACAAGCGCTCGTGTCCCGTGTGCGCCAAGGTCATGTGGAAAAAGTACCTGGGGGTCGCACGTGCGCTCGGCGCACCCAGACTACGAGATGGACGCCGAGACGGCGAGCCAGCTGGCGGCGCCGCGACCCGTCCTGCCCGGCTCCGTCAGCAAAGCCAAAGTCATCAAGCACTGTCCGTACTGCTGGAAGACCATGTGGCGCTGCAACGTGAAACGCCATATCCGGCAGGTCCACCCGGAGCACTCGCACCTGCTGACGGACATGTTCGACCTGGAGGCGGCCATCCGGGCGGCGGCGCGTGAGCGCGGCCTGCCGCCGCCCGCCTCCGACCCGTCGTCGGCCGGCGAGGACGAGCCCGAGGACGAGCCGGCGGCGGCCGAGCCGAGCGCGCAGGACCGAGGCGATGCTGGCCATCCAGGAGATGAACGCCATGGCCGAGGCCGAGGGCTTGGAGGCGCTCGAGGCTGAGGACGACCAGATCAACGAGCGGTCTGCCGAAGCGGCCATGCGAGAGAGCGAGACGGTGCCCACCAACAGCCGCAAGCACGAGAAGAACCTGAAGCGCTGTCGCCACTGCCGCAAGCTGCTGCGCGGGTGCCACCTCAAGCGGCACATGTTGAACTGGCACAGTCCGCTGGCCACCGGCAAGCCGTCTAACAAGACGGGCGTGCCTGGCGGCCTGAACCCGGCGCGCCAGCGCACCTGCCCCGTCTGCCTCAAGGTGGTGGTGGTGAACAACCTGCGCCGCCACATCCGCGCCTCGCACCCCGAGGTGGGCGAGGAGGAGCTGATGAACGTCACTGACTCGGCCTACCCGGGCCTGAGCGGCTCGTTCGGCGCCGACGACGCCAGCAATGACGCGTCGCTGGCGGACGCCGACGAGACGAGCTCGTCACGCAGCGGGCCGGCCTCGCTGGGCGGGTACGCGGCGCGCCGTATGCGCCGCTGCCCGCACTGCGCCAAGGTGATGGTGTCCAGCAACATGGCGCGCCACTGCAAGACGCACCACCCGGCTGAGTGGCGCGCCGCGCACGGCGGCGGGGGCTCCGGCCGTGCCGCCGCCGAGGCCGCCGAGGAGATGGAAGCCATGAACGCTGAGGAGACGGCCGCCTGGCTGGACGAGGCAGCCGCCGGCCACGCCGACGAGCTAGACGCCAGCGACGTGCCCGACGACATGGAAGTCACCGATGAACTGCTGGACGAGGCCGAGCCGTTCGAGGACGACGAACTGGCGGCCGAGGACGAGGACGAGCTCTCGGACCGACTGGAGATCGTAGACGACCGGCCGGATGGGTCGGACAGCGGCGGCGAGCCTCCCGACCCGCTGGGCCTGGCCGACGGCGATGCGGACCATCTGGACCTGGCCGAGGAGCCGGCGGACCACCCGGACCTGGCCGAGGAGCCGGCGGACCACCCGGATCTCACGGAAGAGCCGGAAGACCACCTGGACCTGGCCGACGAGCCGGCGGACCACCCAGACCTCGCGGAGGAGCCGGCAGACCACCTGGACCTGGACCTGGCCGAGGACGGGCCGGTGGACGGCGACGACTCGGACGCGGGAGCGCCGGCCGCTGGCGGCGGTGCGCCGTCGCCCACCTGAGGGCGCGGCTGGCGGCGGGCCTACACCTCAGGGGCGGACGGCGAGGCCGGTCGGGCTGCTCCCCGGCCGAGCAGGGGTCCGTGTCGCGACAGGCGGCCTGGTGTACAGCACGAGTGGTGTAGGGGCAGGCAATGTTAGCCACTATGTCAGCCCACTATGTTAGCAGTGTGTTGGCGCACACGGCGGTGCGAACGAGGGCTGAATGCTGCACGGTTGGGTTGCGTAGCTTCAGGCGTGCACGCTGACAGAAGCCGAGGAGTGCTTCCGTTGCCTGTGTACCATATCGAGCGTTGTGGGAGCAGTGTCTCTGTCTGAGGACTTGAATGCGGTTTGCGGTTGGTTGAACGTGGTATTTTAAGTTAGACGTTCGCGGCAGAAGGGTACCACACAAAATTATTTATCTGAATTGCGGATTGCGGCCTGGGAGTTCCGGACGCCAAATGTATTTATGTTAGATGTGTACGTGATGAATAAAGAGAATAAAACCACTTTAGATTGTGTACAAGCTCTACTTCCGTCCATCAACATTCGAACGTGTATTGTCGAGTGAAATAACGCAAGTTGCTGCCAAGGGTATTATGCCAAGCTCCAGCCAAAATCTGACGCGATTCATTTGCTGCCAAGCCCAAGTGGTAGTAAGTCGATTGCATCAGGTGAAATAGTCATGGCGGCCAGTCAATGGTACAGCCTTGGTAACGCTCAGATCATCCTTGAGTCGGCATGGCTCGTCGGCTGTTTCTGGCTCGGGTGTGGCGCCCGCCCGCTCCGCGGACGACTCGATCTCTGTGGCTAGCTCTGGAACTGGCCGCTCGCCTGCCTTGTCCGTGTCTGCGCCCCTGCTGTTTGTAGCTGACGGCACCTTGTCACGAGCGTGAGACAGACCTCCCGTGCTGCTATGGCCTGTGTCTGACCCGCCTCAGCCTGCAAGCCCTCGTGGGGTCTGTTTTCGTGTGTCCGTGTTCACACGGCCTGTCCACTGCCGCCCCTCCGTGTCAAAGGAGCTGCAGTGGGCAGGCCGCGTGCACACTGGCGACCCGCGCGCGAGTCGACCGCGTGCCGCAGCCGCTGCCCGCCTGAAGCCGACGGTGAGCCATTGGCCGGCGGCGCGCCCGTACTCGCCGTCTGACGCAGCGCGCCGCTTGCCCCGCAGCGGACCCGACCGAGCCGGAGAGCTCGGTGAGCATCACCCTGGTGCGGCCGGAGAGCGGCGCCAGCGAGAGCAGCAGCTCGCCGCCCACCAGCCCGGAGCCGCCGCGCCGCCGCTCGCTCAAGCGCTCCGGCGATACCGACTGGACGCCGTCCTCCCAGGTGAAGCGGCAGACGAGCGGCGGCGCGCCGGCGCGGCAGACGCGGCGCGGCAGCGGCTCCAGCAGACGGCCGCCTGGTGGGATCAGGTGCTGGCCGACGAGCGGGAAGCCGTCGCCGGCGCCAGCGGAGACGGCGGCGGCGGCGGTCGGGGCTTCAGCGTGGCAGGCTTCGAGCCGTTGCGGCGCGGGCCGGGGGCGCGGTCGCGGTCGGCCGCCGAAGCGGTACACGATGCCGACTAGCCGCGGGGACGCGCTCGAGTTCCCGGCCGACGAACCGCCGGTCGGCCTGCTGACCATGCCGGCCACGCCGCCGCCGGCGCCGCTCCCGCCGCAGCCACCGCCCGGCTCGGGCGCTCGCAGCTGCTGAAGCAGATGCTGACGGCGGGCGTGAGCGCCGGCCAGCCGCTGCCGTACCTGCCGCTGACGGCGCTCGACCCACTGACGGTGACGACGCACCGCGGCGTGCGCTACCGCCACCTGTTCCAGGCGACGCCCGACAGCCGGCGGCCGGGCCCGTTCTGTCCGTTCTGCCCGGTCGTCACGCTGCCCAGCCACCTGTCGGAGCAACTACCGGCGCGAGCACAAGCACAGCCGGCACAACACGTGCCGCGGCCTGCGGCAAGGTGCTCGGGCCGCGACCCAGCCGGCCGCTCAACCCACACGGCCTGCATGTTCGCGCTGCTCTCTCGGCCGCAGGTGGCGGCCGCCGCGCTGCCGGAGCTCTGCAGCGAGTTCCGCCAGAAGACCATCAGCAAGAGCAACCGGGCCCGAGCTGTTGAAGGAGGGTGCCGGCGCTGGACGGGCTTCGTCGGCCTGTCGCTGCACGGCTTCGCGCGCCGCAAGTGTCCGATGTGTGGCCTCGAGGTGTTCAGCCCCGAGATGGGCACGCATCTGAGCCAGGTGCACGGACGCCAGCGCTGCCGCCGCTGCTTCGACCTGGTGCCGGTCAGTCTGATGGACGTGCACCGCTGCAAGGGCCACCGCGCGGCGCCGGCCGCTGCCGCTGCAGCCGCCGCCTCCGCCGCGCAGCCGCTGGCACCGCCGGCCTGGGCCGGCGCCCGGCGCGGACGGCGACGCCAATCCCTGGGACGCGCCGGCGCCGGGCAGCGACTGGATGTCTGCGGCCGACGCCGGGCCCCGCCGCCGCCGTCAAGACCGAGGCCGACGACGGCGTGGTGTTCTGCGACGACACGAGCCTGGCAGGCGAGGCGGCCAGCATCGCCATTGGCGGCGCGTGGAGCGAGCGTGCCGCGCCGGCGCCGCCGGCGGCGGCGGCCGGGGCCGAGCCGGCGCCCGGGGCGGAGCTGGCGACCGGGGCCGAGCTGGCGACCGGGGCCGAGCTGACGGCCGGGGCTGAGCTGGCGCCCGGGGCCGAGCTGGCGCCCGCCGCACATGGGGAGGACGGCTCTCCAGAGGAGCGGGGCTCCGTGCCATCCGAGGGCGACGCGGGGCCGGAAGAACCGCCGCTGGCTTCGGCCGAGTGGACGGCGGATCCGGCAGCCATGGCCGGCGTGCAGGCGGGCACGGCAGGCGGGGAGGAGCTTTCGTCCGGAGCGGCAGGGGCGCAGGAGTCGGCGGACCCGGCGGACCCGACAGCATCGGCGCAGGATGCGACCGCCGGGTTCAGCGCCATGCCCAGCCTGGCGGAGGCGACGAACTCGCATAGCGTTCTGAGGAATATGTTGGAGAATTTCCGCAGACATCTTGAGTGAAATGAGGCGCGGATGGCAGCGCAAGCGAAAATACGATGTGATCGCGGGGACTTTGGGTATGTTATGTTCAGCAGTGTTGCATGTTTAATATCATTCCACCAGTTGGGTCTCATTGATGTGCTTTGTGTTTGGGACGTTAGGAAACTACATATACGTATATGTTTCTCAGCCCGCAGCATGCTGCTCATCAGAAAATGTGTCGACATGTTTTTGCTAATAGACTGGGCAGTAAACTGTCAATTGTATGGCTTGAGAGTAAGACGACAAACCAGAGATCGGACCATGTTTCATTCACCGAAATGCCGCCGTGCATTTGATCGCCGGAATCTGGTCCAACTCGGGCCGCACACATCACCACCACGACGTGATGCACCGCTGCCGCGCGTCACGAGCTGCATACCCATCACAGACAAAACGGCGACACCCACTGGCCGCACGGCCGGCGTCGCCACACGCTCTGGCCACCCTGCCGAGGCGCACACTAGTGCACACGCGCGGCTGGGAGTGGTGTAACGTGACGGTACGCGAGTGGTCAGCCCGCGAACGCCGACCTCTGGCCGACACTCTGCGGCGCCTCATGCATTTGGCCTGTGAGCCGGACGCTCACGCGCGAGCAGACGCGCCCTTCAGCGGAGCCCGAGCATTGGGACACGAGACGCGCCCAGTCTCGCTCAGCTCTGCCCGCTTCAAGTGCCAGTGTGCGATCTCTGCGCTGCCCCCCCCCCCCCCCCTCCCCCCTCCCCCCCCCCCCACACACGATAAATCCTGGCTCAGCGTGCACTACTCCTCATGCAGGTGCTGCTCCGCCTCGATCCACCAGTTTCTGACGGTGTCCGCGGCGCGGCGCCACAGTCGCAACCGCGTGCCGCCATACAGCGCGCACACGACGATGAAGAGCCAGGCGGCCACCAGGTACCAATCGAGCCGCTGCTCCGGCACGGACGGCAGCGGACCGCCGAAGTCGGCCGACGTTACGTTCAGCAGCACGGCCGCCGACAGCTGCGTCTGCGCGCGCACGAAGTCGGCCAGCAGCTGCAGCGTCGGCTCCGACTGGTTGAAGCGCGCCTGCGGCCGCCCGTTGTGGAAGAGGATCACGGTCGGCACGGCGATGATGCCGAACCGCGTGTTCAAGCTGTGAAGCCAAGACACGGTCAGCAGAGAGCGGCGCCGCTGCCATGATGCTGGCGACTGGAAGGATATGTCGCACTGGGAAATGATTATTTCACTGGGCCAACCAGCTCGACCTAACTAACGTTTTAGAGCGATTGCACGGTCGCACGACGGTTGTGACCAGCGTTAAAAGAAGCGGATGGCCCATCTTTCACCGCGTTGAGTTAAAATGGCGGTGCAACAGCGAGTCGCAGGCACTTCTTAACTTCGGAACGGACCTATATGTATGTGGCGCAGCCTTAGAGAGTCGTCTGACCTCGGCGGATTGAGCCGGTGCCGTCACCATCTGCCCTGATCTCAGCTGTTCGTCACTCTGACCCCAGCCCGCGCCAACGAGTGGCCCAGTCTTGTGTGCCCGCTGCCCCGGCCTGACTGAACCCCCTGCATCGCAAAGCTATACCAACCTGCCGTTTCCGGGGACGACCTGCCCCCCCCCCCCCCCAAACACACACAAGCATGACGCTCATTGGTGTTTGCTTTGAAACGTCAGATCAGCGCTGATAATCCCTTTCCACGTGTGACACACCCGGACAGCGCCCATGTCGTTCTGTCGCTACGCGGAGGGTGTCTATCCAGGCCTTCCGCCTGCAGCCGTGCGCCAGGATCTGAGCCGGCTTCACACACCACCCCTCCGACGCCTACCCTGCCTGCCCCTAAAAGGGTTGCACAGCCGCACCCAGATGCTACCCGCCCCTCCCTACAACGCTACCACTACCGCTCGCCCTCAACCGTCGCCCACCTGCCATTCTCCAGCGCGTCCACGGCCATGACGGGTAGGTCGGGGAAGGCGCGCGGCATGGCGTTGACGTGCGGCGCGGCCGCCGCCGAGAACGGACACGTGCTACCATAGAAGAGCACCAGCAGGCAGCGGGCGGGCGTGCTGCGCGAGCGTACCGACGTGTCCTGCACCAGCTCGTCAGACAGCGTCGCGGCGCTCACCATCTGCCGACGACGGGCGCCCGGGCAGGGTCAGTGGCTTGCCTGCGCGCTGTTTAACATAGTTCAGCCGCACACACAGCGCCTCTTTAACAACAGCGGATTAACAACACACACAACAGCACCTCTTAACGACAACAGCACCTCTCTTCTGCAACAGCGGATTCAGGACGCCGTCTGGAGGAGGGGGGGGGGGGGGCAGCCGGCTTGGCAGAAACAGAGCAAATGTCTTTATTGCAACAAAACAAAAAGCGCATTGGGATTCCTTGCATTTTACCTCAAGGGCCTTTCCAAGATAAATGTTCCTCGGTAAAAGTTTCTTAGACCTCTGCACAGTCTAAAAACGCGTCATTTTTGCCCACATTTGGCCACATAAGGAACCATGGTCCTGCTGCCCCTCTCTCCCTTCCTCGGATCTACCCTTGGACAAACAGCCACCGATATATTTAGTCGAACTCTAAATTCTAAACGTGCGTTTTCACGGTTATTTCATTCGAGCAACTAGCTCACCAGCCCGCAGCACAACGCTCCCCTGATACCAGTGCTATAGCAAAAACGCCCACCGACAACAGTGCGACCGCATTGCTTTTCTGCCAAAGCGTATTCACCACATTAGTGTAACGGAACAAAATTTCTGCTTCAAAACCTTATGCCCGTCATTACCCTAACAGCATAGACCCCCCACAGCCGCACATAGACACACACAGCATTACTTCTCCTACAAAAAATCATACTTTCGCATAGCACTTATATCTCGCATACGATTTTGCAGTACAAATATAGTCACGTATAAGTATAGTCTGTGTAAGTTTGTGCAATGCAAGTAATGACGCGTGCCTAATGTAGCACCCCTGTCGGCAGGAGTGTTTGCCGTAACACTCACGTCGTGGCAGCTGGCACACCCTAGCCCGCGGCCTGCGCAGAACACACCTGAACTGTCAGCTCCTCCTGAGTTCTGTTCAGCGGCATACAGTTGCATACTTTGGAGGTGGAGTTGGTCGTGGAGTTGTCAGAGACGCTTTCTCCCACATCTACGCCTAAGATAGCCGTCGCGTTCTGCAACAGGCGCCATAGCGATACATCTCACTTTATTCTTTGTCGGCAAAAACGCGAACAAAGGCATCGTCCACCTGAAGCTCATTAGTTCAGCATATACGGTGTGTTGTAAAAGACGTTGGTCTCTGGACTATGGACTGATCAGCGTGGTATTAGCACACGCCTGGATGGCCGCGTTAACGCGGCGCGCTCAGATGACGGGGAAGGGGGGGGGGGGGGGAATTTGACCAACTCATATATCAAACAACTGATAGAGCAAGGAACATCAAAGGACACCAACACTGGCGCGAACATTCCAAGGAAAGGGAAAAAGAAGAAAACGGCGCTCAATTCGCTCAATCAGTTTCATGTTCCATTAAAATGCGTCTTAACTGACAATGCTTAATCCTTGCCGACACCTATACGCGCAACATGCAGGCGTATCGATGCAGCCATCTGTCAGGGCGACGCCACCCATGTTGATTAATTACACCAAAGACGGCACTTAACGACTGCTCGGGTGCCTACCGCCGGGCTGCCAGCAGGCACTCGTAGCTGCGCATCACCATGCGGAGGAGTCGTGGCTTGGCAGCACCTTTGAACGACAGCACCCTTGACACGACTCCCTCACCCCGCGTCCAGGCCAGCCGCGCCCGTCTCCACGGACGAGTAGGCGTCACCCCTAGCTCGTCCGTGTGAGCCGCACTCACCCGCCTTCGGTCCGGGTCAACCTCGTCCTCCTCCGCGGAAGAGCCGACGGACGAGCCGGGCGCGTCCCCCCCTGGGCCGGCCGGCTCGGCCATGTCGTCGCCGGCCTTGCTGTGCAGCCACACGGACTCGGGCGTGTACTCGTCCGTCAGAGACGAGTCTCGCTGGCAGCGGCGTGAGACGCGCGGCGTGAACATAACGTTGGATGGTCACACGGACACACACACACACACGCACACACACACCACACACACACACCCAAACACACACACACATACACACACGCACAACGTGTGTTTGCGCACGCACGCACGCACGCACGCACGCACGCACGCACGCACGCACGCACGCACGCACGCACGCACGCACGCACGCACGCACGCACGCACGCACGCACGCACGCACGCACGCACGCACGCACGCACGCACGCACGCACGCACGCACGCACGCACGCACGCACGCACGCACGCACGCACGCACGCACGCACGCACGCACGCACGCACGCACGCACGCACGCACGCACGCACGCACGCACGCACGCACGCACGCACGCACGCACGCACGCACGCACGCACGCACGCACGCACGCACGCACGCACGCACGCACGCACGCACGCACGCACGCACGCACGCACGCACGCACGCACGCACGCACGCACGCACGCACGCACGCACGCACGCACGCACGCACGCACGCACACACACACACACACACACACACACACACACACACACACACACACACACACACACACACACACCCACACACCACACACACACACACACACTAGTTCACACTTGATTCAACATGGATTTTCTGTTTTAATCTGAGTTTCTCAAGTCTGCACTGCCAGGCAGCGCGCAACAGGCATGCTACCGATACGAACCAGACTGGTCATGCAAGGCAACATGGTGTCAATTACATCGGCATACTGGCACACTGTACAGACGCCGAGTCGACGATACGTCTTTGGTGAGGGTGCTAACGGCGCCAACGACGTAACGATGCCAATGTACGTCAGTCCAACACTGGTGTCGGGCACAGCGCGTCACAGGGGGCGTATTCTGACCTTTAACAGAGATACATGTCTGGTATATGCAGATGACAGAAGTCGTGTAAAGTCCAGGCCGTAAAAGACATGCCGCAAAATTTGAGCACTGATGAAAGCAGCGTCCCAAAGTACAGGCGACTGTCAATTGCCGCAAGCATCGCAAACTTACAACAAAGTAATTGGGAGGACATTGTGCATAATTGAGATGCTACTGAGTTGTACGTGGCCACATGCGGTGCCATACCGACGCCAACGCATTGTGCATAATTGAGATGCTACTGAGTTGTACGTGGCCACATGCGGTGCCATACCGACGCCAACGCATTATGCACCATTGAGATGCACAATGCGTTGGTGTCGGTATGGCACCGCATGTAGCCACATACAACTCGGTAGCATCTCAATGACTCAGATCATCATGTCATCATGGTGATCATCTTTGTTGGTGGTCATGCAAAGGTAACATAGTGTCAGATCTTAATCATCTTTGCAGCCATCTGTCAGGGCGACGCCACCCATGTTGATTAATTACACCAAAGACAGCACTTGTGGACTGTTCGGGTGCCTACCGCCGGGCTGCCAGCAGACACTCGTGGCTGCGCATCATGACGCGGAGGAGTCGAGGCTCGGCCGAACGACAGCACTTTTGACACGACTCCCTCACCCCGCGTCCAGGCCAGCCCCGTCCGCCTCCACGGACGAGTAGGCGCCACCCCTAGCTCGTCCATGTGAGTCGCACTCACCCGCCTTCGGTCCGGGCCAACCTCGTCCTCCTCCGCGGAAGAGCCGACGGACGAGTCGGGCGCGTCCCCCCCTGGGCCGGCCGGCTCGGCCATGTCGTCGCCGGCCTTGCTGTGCAGCCACACGGACTCGGGCGTGTACTCGTCCGTCAGAGACGAGTCTCGCTGGCAGCGGCGTGAGACGCGCGGCGTGAGCAGAACGTTGGATGGTCACGTACACGCACGCACGCACGCACGCACGCACGCACGCACGCACGTACGCACGCACCCACACCCACCCCCACCCCCACACCCACACCCACACACCACACCCACACCCACACCCACACCCACACCCACACCCACACCCACACCCACACCCACACCCACACCCACACCCACACCCACACCCACACACACACACACAAACTTGTTCACACTTGATTCAACATGGATTTTCTTTTTTTTAATCTGAGTTGGTCAAGTCTATTCTGCTAGGCAGCACACAGCACGCATGCTACTGATACGACCCAGGACTGGTCATGCAAAGACAACATGGTGTCATCTTTGTTGGTGATCACGTGGTGACATACTGACATTAACGCATTGCGTCAGTATGGCACCATTGAGGAGGCCCACAGAGCCACCTATAGCATCGTCAAAGAGCTTTGTATCAGTACAGAGCCATTGAAGAGCCCCTATAAGAGCCACATGCAGCACTGTCGATTGAAACGGCTGTATGACAATAGCACCTTGTGTGGTGAAGAAAGCGGAAATCACAAGTAAAAGATATCCATTTGATGACCGAAGCATGTGGCACAGTACCGCACAAGTAATGTGTCCCAGTGATCCTGAGCATTAAACAGTCAAAAATGTGAAGTGATATTCACTTAATATTGCTAAGATGTGAGACAATATTATGTTGACAATAGCAGTGCTAATGGCACCAAAAGCACTGCCCCTTCAACACAACAGCAAGGCAGGATCACTTGTAATGACTAAATCTGTTTGCCTGTCATGTTCATTCATCTCTTGAGTTCATGGACCACACAGGCATAAAATATTCTTATCAGCAGTGATATCTGTATCAAACTCTGAAATCAAACAGTAAATGTTTGCCATTGTGTTCTTCTTTTCCAAAAACACTGCATATTTTTATGACATTTATCCCAATAAACCCAAGTTTTTCTGTTTCACAACCACTGCTACACTTACTTGCATTCTCTCCAGAATCTGCCGAAGAGTTGGAGGCTCAGGGGTGTTATTCTCTCCTGATATTGCATCATGAAAAGCTGGGACAGACTCTTCATCTGCCTCCATGTGTTTGGCAGGGGTCTCAGTTTCTTCCCAGCTGTCCTGGGCTGATCCAGTCACTAGCAGCACTGAAATAAAGGCAATTGCTTAAACAACTAATTTAGGCTGTAATCATCTAACCATACATAAGACAATGATCTTTCTAAAGAGAACAAGGGGTAATCTTGGGGCTGGCATATCGGAAAGAACAGGCATGATATTCATTGACATTGAAATTCCATTCAACATAAGGCTATCAACTGGCTCATAAGGGGAAACAAGATAATTCAATTGGTTCTACCAAAGACACCTTAGTTGGCAAAATGAGATGTTGCAGCACACATGATTGCCAGAGCATGAATTTATATGGTGGTCAAATTCCCAGGGTATTGCAAAAAAGCAGCACCTGTCTTCTATTGGTAATGCCAAAATGAATCAGTCAAGAACCATGCTATCAGTCAGGAAAGAGACACTCATATTACTCCAGTATAACCAGCCCTCCACCCCAGATTCCTTGACTTCAAACATCAAACAACAGAAAACATAACACAAGCCAAAACATGAAGCAAATACAAACAAATGCAAGACCAGAACAATCACAAAATGCATTAGATCCAAGTTTAGATGTAAGTATGATATAATCATTTCCATCTTACTGAGCATCTAAGTATTTCAAACATTCACAAAAACCACACCTGCATGCTCCCACAGTGACTTAGATACAATAGGCAGCAGGTTCCTACAATGTCAGAGAGCAAGAAATAGCTGTGAATCACAGAATTGCCCACTTCCCATCCCTTGGGAAAATCAACAATTGCTGTCAACAAAGAAGAAATATTGAATTACAAGGTCTCCTTAAACATGAACTGCTTGAGCACTTAATGTACAATCCACAATTTGATATGCTGGCTATTACTGAGTTTAGTAGACATGAGTATTTTGGTGGACAGTTGCACCTTTGATAAGTAGTGTACCCCATGCACAATGCAGATAATGCCATGAGAGGGGTGTAATTTTCTCTATGGTAAGGTTTAAGGATGCTCCACGCCCCAATACTTGAAGACAATGGGCCAATCCATGAAGCAGCCAGCTAGCTTGCATGTTTCCACAACATGATTTGTTATTTTCAGCTGCCCAGTCCCCTCCCAGCTCATGTTGCAAAACTACACTTATGTCCCTCATGAGCATCCCTACACCTCCTACACTTACCAAAGGCTAACAGATGTATGATGGGAGGACAGTGCATCGTTAAAAGGAGGAAGCAAGAATATTAAAGCGCTATACGAGAAGCCTTCAATTCCTGCATTACGTAATTCTTGACATGCCTGCCCAAGGCAGCGTCATTTGAACCGCAATAACTCTGCGGGCGCCTTACGCAAAATGTTTGTAATTACCACGTCCGATCACCAAAAGTTGTCCACGCACAACTACTAAACGCGGCCGGCGGACCGATTTTATGGCTAGACGTCATAGGCTATGCACATCAAAACTCTTGATCTTTTTATTGAATCGGTAGCGCATTATTTGTCTGAAATTTACCTGCCATATTACCCAAAACCTCTAAGCTTATATTTTCCCTTTGCGTGACGTCGCCGTGATGCGAAAAAAATTACCGGCTTCCTTACACGCTGAACGACGCGGCTGCTGCGATCGTGGTGCGATTTCCTGCGTGTTTGCTTGTTTTATTCGGGCAAGACGATGGACTACCTTGCGACTGAAATTCCAACTAAAGTAAGGTAGGTTGTTGGGTGCAGCTTAGCTA